CCTCAGCCTCCCAAAGTGTGGGATTACAGGCTGAGCCACCGAGCCTGACTTCCAGCCCCCAATTTAAACAGTATTACAAAAATCATACCTCAATCATCATTTTTTTCAGAGATATTTTTAGTGCCTGTTTTGTGTAAAACGAATTAAAAAGCCAGTAGTGCATTTATTTAAAAATTAATTTGCTGTTTGAAATGATATTAATCAGATCCTTATTAAAAATATTGATGCTTAGAAATGCTATACTGAAATATAAAACCTAGCAGTTTTTAGATATTTACATGTGCCTTTTGATGTAGTATTTTATATTTTTGTTGGATGTGACCTGTAACTTCCTAAGCATCTTTTTGAAGAACACTTGTAAATAGTATATGCTGATATGAGTGAAGGCACTACTGAGTAAATTTCCTGTTGCCCAGGCTGGAGTGCAGTGGCACGCTCAGGGCCACCCCAGCCTCGATCTGCTGGGCTCAGGTGATCCTTCTGCCTTAGCCCTCAAAGTAGCCGGATCTACAGGCACGTGTCACCACGCCTGGATAATTTTTTGATTTATGGTAGAGATGAGAGCTCACCAAGTTGCCCAGGCTGGTCTCGAACCCACGGGCTCAGGCAGTACTCTCACCTCGACCTGAATTCTCTTTTAACTTCTGTTATTTTAAGTTTGACTCTTCTGTTCAATTGTAGTATTTATTAATTTTTTGGTAAACTGTCTTTGCTTAACCTGTTGCTCTATTTTTGTTAAGTGATTTTTGTTACATAAATAGCTTTTGTTATTTGTGTCAACAATTGGAAATAAGTTGTATATCCTGTAGCAATATTGCTATGTCTGTCTTTTGAGCAAAATGCAGAGACTATCATTTTAATCTCACCTCCAGGTGCTATGGCTATCATGAAAATATTCTTTGGAACGTGTCTGGAGGAGGGAAAGAAAATATAACAGAGCGAGTGTTTCTTATCTGGGAGCTATGCCTATGTAGAATAGTTCCCCCTGCAGGACTATTTTCTTTTTTCTTTCTTTCTTTTTTTTGAGTTGGAGTCTCACTCTGTTGCCCAGGCTAGAGTGCGGTGGCACGCTCACAGCCACTGCAGCCTCCACCTGCTGGGCTCAGGCGATCCTTCTTCCTCAGCCTTCCAAGTAGCTGGAAACACAGGTTCATGCCACCACGCCAGGCTAATTTTAAAATTTACTGTAGAGATGACGTCTTGCCAAATTACCAAGGGTCTCAAACCCTTGGACTAGGCAGTCCTCTTGCCTCTGCTTCCCAAAGTGCTGGGATTACAGGCATGAGCCACCATGCCCTGCTGAGCTATTTTCGTTACAAACAGTTGCAGGGTTTCTAAAGAAATTAGTGCAAGCTGTGGTAAATGTTATATTTTAGGAAATGCAGTTCATTAAATAAAAGTCAGTGCTTCTGGAGGTGTTAATACAACCCAAATATTAATTTTGATGTAGTCTGTGGTATTTGTTTCCTTAAAAACAAATCTAAGCCGGGCTCGGTGGCTCAGTCTGTAGTCCCGTGCTTTGGGAGGCTGAGGTGAGTGAATTGCCTGAGCCCGCGGGTTCGAGACCCGCCCAAGCAACTTGGCGGAGACCTCATCTCTACAATAAGTCAAAAAATTAGCCGGGCATGGTAGCATGCGCCTGTAGTTCCAGCTACTTGGAAGGCTGAGGTGGAAGGATCGCCGAAGCCCAGCAGGTTGAGGCCGTGGTGGCCAGAAGCGGCCACTGCACTCCAGTCTGGGTGACAGAGTGAGACTCCAACTCAAAAAAAAAAAAAAAAAAAAAAAAAATTTTGAATCCAGGAGCTTTTTGAGGACTTTGATAAACTTAGGTCTGTCGAAGGTTCAAGATGGGGTCTGGCTGTTGCTGCTGCTATTTTGTTTGGTAATCTGACTAAATGAGGTAGGTTTTCTGTTCCGAGATCCTGAGGCATGCATCACCTGTAAATGAGAGTGCTTTTCTAATCCAACAACTTAAAAAAAGTCCAGAATGCAACTATGAGTACACTTAAGTTTACTAGCAGCATTACAGGAAATCATGTACTAATTTAAGGGAAAAAATTTAATATAAGTATTTTTCTATTCTGTTTGTGATAACCATTACTACTACTGCTTTTTTCCCTTCCTGCTATCAGTTGAAATTTTGTGTTTGGAAGAATAAGCTTTGCTTATCAGTTCTTTCTTACTTGAAACCTTTTAGATCTTTCCTAAGTTTGCTGTGGTTCTTAAAAAAAAATCACTGTGGTACTTTCTGTTACTGTTTGGCTCTCAGTAAGCAGATTTTAATATAAAAACTTGTGGAGATTTCAGTTTTCGATAAATCCCTGGAGAGTTCAGCTTTCCTGGAAGAGAATTTCTCTAGAAAAAAGAAAACTGCTTTTTACTTAAAATAAAATTTAAGCTTGCAAACACTTTCTCTGTGTAGTTGAGCTAAAATCGCTGTTCCTTGGGCTGTGGTATTGTCCAGTTATGCAGAACCGGCATGTGAGGAAAGCAGAGGGCTCTCAGCCTCTGTGCTCTCAGGTGTTCTGTTCTCTGCTTGGCAGTTATGCATATTGGCTTCTTTAATCTACCCCTGGAATTGTTGATCAGCTGTAGCACCAACTGGGTGTTCTTTTCCTTACTCGGTTTAAGAAAAATTCCTAAAAATTATCACTGATCATAGACCATTCCCAGTTTTGTTGATAACCCAGTACCATTTATTTCTGCATTGCAAAGTGGGAGCGTCAGTGGAATGTGATGCCTAACTTCAGCTTATGTGAAGTCTGTTTCCTTGTAGATCATTGATGTATAGTGAAGCTAATAGACGGGAGACGTTTACCTCATGGCCTCATGTGGGCTACAGGTGGGCACAGCCAGATCCCATGGCTCAAGCTGGATTTTATCATCAGGTAAAAAACACAGTCACAAATGAGTTTTTTTTCAGTAGAATAGTCTGCATTTTAGTACTTTTTAAAGAACTTTATGCATTTTGGTTTTGTGTTTGTGTGAATGCAGCAGAGTTCTGTTTTATTCTTTTACTTTTTTTTTTTAAGTAACAGTATCTCACTGTGTTGCCCGGGCTGAACTTGACTGAACTCCTGGGCTCAAGTGATCCTCCTGTCTCAGCCTCCTGGGTAGCTGGAACTATAGGTACATACCTGACTTGTTCCTCTACTTTTGATCATGATATTGACCGGCTGTTTCCTGTATTGTGTATTCTACATGAGAAGGAAGAAAATTATTTAAAGTAACTAATAACTCAGTTACTTACTACTTAATAACTATAAGTGTTTTATTTCAGATTCGATACAATTTTTAAAAAAACACCAAATAAGCAGTATTCTCCAGATTTGTGTTTTGACAAGTGTTCTCTTTTGATGTGTGTGTATTTTTAGTTTTCGACTTCTACATTTGTAACAGTAGTAGATGCTTAGGGTAATGCAATAAAAGCGTTTTTACAGTTCTGAAATTTTAATTTTAGTTTAGATACAAATTACCCATATCCTAGATAACTTTAGAACCAGCCATGCCACAGGTGGTACAGTACAGTCTGAATATGTATGTTTTGAAGAATTGGTTAGCAAGTTGCATAGAAAAGGAGAAGGGTGTCCAGTGTAAGGATTAGCATGGCCAAGAGACAGGAGAACTAAGGGAGAGGGAAGTTAAGAATGATTTCAACTGCGTGTCATATTATTAGTTAATAGGAAACTTTAACTGAGTGACTTACTGCTGTTTTACCACTACTGAGGAAGCTAAGAAAATTGAATACTTACACATCAAATTACATAAAGCATGCTAATTTTACTTTAGAATTTAAGGAAACTTTGAAGTCTATTAAAGTTACTGTCATTAAGAATCTGAAGATTAGCCGGGCTCGGTGGCTCAGCCTGTAATCCTGTGCATTGGGAGGCCGAGGTGAGTGGATTGGCTGAGCCTGCGGGTTTGAGACCCGCCTGGGCAACTTGGCGAGACCTCATCTCTACAACAAATCAAAAACTAGCCGGGCGTGGTTGTGCGCGCCTGTAGTTCCAGCTACTTGGAAGGCTGAGGTGGAAGGATTGCCGGAGCCCAGCAGGTCGAACCTGTGGTGGCTGGGAGTGGCCACTGCACTCCAGTCTGGGCGACAAAGTGAGACTCCAACCCCCCCCCCGAATAGAATCTGAAGATTGAGTATCCCTTAGTTATCTTGAAGTATTCTGAATATCTTAACTAAAAGGAAATGAGAAAAATACATGTATTTGAATATTTTATTCAAAGTTTGTCAGATTTCCAGTTAAAGATAGATAGGCTTGGAGACTGGCCAGTGTTAGAATCACTGTAATTATGCCCCTAAATTAAGGATTGGATATGGAGTATTCTTCTAGTACTTTATTAGCTTTTAATTTGGTATCATTTTCTAAGAGAGTTCTGTTAAGTGATGCTTTGATATTTTTTCTGTTGAGTTCTTGTTCAGTATATTCTGTCTTTGCAGAGCGGTTAAGTCACAGATTACCTAGAATCTCCTGATTGTATAGAGGCTGAGTATTTGTAACTTTCTAAAATGTGTAATAGATTGGCATCTAAGTAGTAAGTGTTCACAGACATTAATATCAGTTTTCAGGTAGATTTCAGTTCAGATTTTGATAAATATATTGAAAACTTGAGCTGAAATATATATATCTTAAAAATTATATTAAAAGGCATAAATCATACTTCACAACAGTAGTTTTTATAATTATATAAAGTATTTGATGTGATAAATACTGTAAAAATATAACACATATATATGTGTTATATATGTAACACATATACATATATATATGTGCCTGAACTGAAATATATAGAGCATTTTGTTCCATGAGACTTAAAGAATATTACAGGAATTAGATCGACTAGTTTCCTTTTTCCTTGTACTTGCCCTTTCTTGTGTAGTTGAATTGGATTCAGTATTTAATAAACCTGTTAGATGATTTTCATTCCTATACTTGCTTATAGTTTGATACTTCAGTTGTACAATTGGAAGGTACTGAATCAGGGATTGTGCACATATGTGCCTCTATGTTTTGACTTATTGGCCATTTTCTGAATTTTCAAATAACCAATTCATAAACATTCAGAGGTTTCAGTGTATTGTTGGGACCTAATAGTATAGGCTAATTTTTTTCTGTACATCATTTTACTTAAAATCATGAACTTTTAAAAAGAGCTTTTGTCATAATGTATTTTAGTAATAATTCACCTTTTCTATCTCTCTTCTTTATAATTCTGCAGCCTGCCTCATCTGGAGATGACAGAGCCATGTGTTTTACTTGTAGTGTGTGTCTCGTTTGTTGGGAACCTACTGATGAACCTTGGTGAGTCTTGTTTTTCTGGCCCTAGGAGGCTAAGTGTATCCTGGAAATGCACTTCCGAGTTTTACTTTCTGATTATGGTACATGTTTTGCCTGCTGCCATCTGTGTTTTTGCCATTGTCCTAAGAGAATGAGGTAGCCCTGTTCGTACTTTGTCACATCCTTTGATGTACAGTGTCTCTAAGGTCCATGACTTTCTGGAATTCGTACATGGGAGAAGTACCAAAGAATAGAATAAGGCTCTGACTAGAAACCTGAAGGCTGTGGTCAAATGAACTCTAGCATGAGCTTCCCCAGTTGGGGTGCGGTCTGCTGAGCACAGGCTGCCAGTAGGGAGTCCTTGGGGGAGGGTCTCAGAGTTCTGACTCGGAAGTCATTTTAGGGGATTCATGTGCTTGAATTTTAGCACTTGAAATTTTAGAACCTGGTTAAACATTAGAGATCATGTCTGGAAACTTCATTTTTATAAAATAACTACTTTGAGGTCTTATTAATAGAAATAGTATATTATTATAGCCAATATTGATATAATACCATATACCAGGTACCATGGTAAATACTTTCCATATTTTTTTTTTGGAAAGCAGTATTTATTGAGAGGACAGGAAAACTACCACAGTGAGAGGGGACCTGAGGGGATTGCCCTATTTGTAACTCATTTAATTCTCACATTAACCCTGTGAAATTGGCTCAATTATCATCTCCATTTTATAGGAGGAAACTAAGAGTTGTCCAGTTTAATCCTTACAGTTACTCTGAAATAGGCATTATCATTCCATTTTATTGTTTTTTGTTTTTGTTTTTGTGGTGGAGTCTCAGTCTGTTGCCCAGGCTAATCCAGTGGCACACTCATGGCCACCCCAGCATTGACCTACTGGGCTCCAGCAATCCCACCTTAGGCTTTCCAAGTAGCCAGAACTACAGGCGTGTGCTACGCTACCTGGCTAATTTTTATTTATTGTAGAGACACGTCAGCAACAAGTGACCCAGGCTGGTTTCGAACCTCCAGGTTCAGGCAATCCACTTACCTCAGCCACCCAAAGTGCTGGGATTATAGGCTGAGCCACCAAGCCTGGCCATCATCCCATTTTAAAATGAAGAAAATAAAGTTTGCTGAATGGCATATGGCTAGTAAGTGATAGATCCAGGTTTTGGGTTTTTTTTTTTGAATCTGTGTCTCACTCTGTCATCCAGGCTGGAGTGCAGTGGTGTAATCACAGCTCACCACAGCCTTGACCTCCTGAGCTCAGGCAGTTCTTCCATCTCAACTTCCCAAGTAGCTGGGACTACAGGTATGCGTCCCCGTGCCCAGCTCAGTTTTTTATTTTTATTTTTATAATAGACATGAGATCTCGTTATTTTGCCTAGGTTGGTTTCAAACTCTTCAGCACAAACGATTCTCTTACCTCAGCCTCTTAGAGTGCTGGGATTACAGGTGCAATCCACCATGCCTGGCCGAGCTTTGGTATTAACACTTTGCGATCAGCAGATTTTTTTACTTTTCTGATACTCACTGCAGGTGAACAAAAAAAATCTGAAGCTGGTTGCAGCAAACTTCTGTCATTAAGTACAAATAAAATGGTGTTTTTCTAAATTGTCCTTTTTCACAATACACCTGAAAGTTGCAGACATATGCACTATTTGCCTCAGGCACCACTCTGACTAGCATTCCATACTTTGTATTTTTATTCACATTATAAACCGAATATTATTCAGAAAAATTTGCAAAGGCGTAAATTCACATCAGCGGCACTCAGGAACAGAATTTGGAATTTGGAATGATGTCAGCAATTGCAAATGAGTTAAGACATGTCACTTATTCAGTGTAAGGTCTCTTGGTCTATCTGTCTTTAAAAAGGTCAAATTGTACCGTACTCACCTATTTTCAGACCACAGTAGGCCCTGGGCAACTGAAACCATGGAGAATGAAACCGCGGATAGGGGGGAACTACTGTATAGGAAATTTCTAGTTTAAGTTTCTGTTTGGAACTCAGCTTTCTCCATATAAGCCATTTTTATAGAGAGAGAAACCATTTTAACATATCCATATTTTTAGTTTCCTAGGTCAGTCCTCAAAAAGTATTTAATCCATTCCTAAAAAATTGAACCATCATATTATAGAATATAATCTTATTTATAAATATTTTCTATGGAAAGTTGATTCAAATTTCCGACTTGGACAGCTAAACACCTATGTTTTTTGACATGGTCAGGGATTCAAGGATTTGGTTTCCTCTTTGTGCCAGGATTTAGGAGTCCTCCAACTTGAAGAATTTCTGACCCCAGGCCAATGTTCTGAATGGATAGGAAGGAAGAGTATTGATGAAGGCTGGGGAACCTAGCCACTGTCTAAAGTGTAAGGAGCAGAAAAAAAAAAAAAAAGAATTGAAGGGGAAAAATGAGACTCTTATATTTTGACAGTGGGAGTCGATAGAGTTATTTGGAGGGAGATTGAAATTTTAAAAAATGTGGGCACACCCTATTACCTAGCAATTTCTCTTCTATATATCTACCTTAGGGAATTAATTGCTCTTGTATGCTGGAGGCATAAAATGGATTGTCACTGCAGTAAAAGCATGGAAACCTCTTGAATGCCCATCAGGACAGGAAACCAGATAAGATGTGGTTTATTCATATAATAGATTGTGGTACAACAGTTAAAAGGAATGGTTAGATCTCTATTAATCACCATCAGTAACTTTCAGAAATCTTATTTTATCAAAAAAGCTTTTGTAGAATACAGTAAGTCCCTACATACTAATGAGTTCCATTCCAAGAGCATGTTCATAAATCCAATTTGTTTGAAAGTCCAACAAAGTTAACCCAGGTACCCAGCTAACACAATCAGCTTTATAGTACTGCACTTTAATCGGTTTGTAAAACTTTTCTTACAAATAATACGTTGAAAACAAACACAAAATAAAGAAAACACTTTTAATCTTACAGTACCTTGAAATGTACAGTAGTACAGTTAGACACGTGAACTGTGATTGGACATGCAAACACCTTCTTTGAAAGTTTACTACAGCTTGAACGTTTGTATATAGGGGACTTGCATTATTCATCGTTGAATAAATGATAAAATGTACAGTGATACTTACAGTTTAATCAATTTGATGTTTTTTCTATGTATATTTATGTATGCAAACTTATAAAAATGTTTCAGAAGTTTACCACTTAAATTTATTACAGTGGTTACCCAGAGGTAGATAGGAGAGTACTGGGATCAGATTATCATAATTGAAGTGGACATTTAGCTTGGTTTTATATAGTCATGTATAACTAGTATAAACAAAATTTTAGTTAAAAAGTTAAAACTCAGGTAAGAGAAAGACGGGGGCAAAATGTGATGTGTGTAGAGGTGCAGGGTAAAGAGATTTATGGAAGACATCTGTGCATTACAAATTGCCCAGGGTGCATATGTGGCTGTAGATAAGTTGTAGGCGCAGTATAAAGAGAAATACATGGATTCTAAGGAGTAGCATGTTTTATGAATAAAGATTTTTTTTTTTTTTGGCCATGGAAGTATAACAATGGGTTAAAAAAGGATTTCTTTAAAACAACTTTTTAAATTAATTTTTAGAGACAGTTGCTTGCTGTGTTCTCCAGCCTGGAGTTCAGTGGCTGTTCACAGGCATGATCATGGCTCACTGCAGCTTCAGACTCCTGGGCTCAAGCAGTCGTCTCTCCTTAGCCTTCTGAGTAGCTGGGACTAAAGACTTGTGCTACCATGCATAGCCTAAAGGGTTCTTTTTTTGGCAGCAGAATTCTGATGTTTCTAATGCCTTGTAATTACAGCTAATGAAAGTAAAAATAAAGAATAACCAGAAAACAACATAAAGGAGTCACAAAGTTTAGCAGATAAGTTTAAGTGTTAAATTTTTTTCTGCTTTCAGTATTTGTGAAAATTCTCAAAGTGATTATACCCGTTTTGGTCTGAGGTCCTAGTATTTTCTTTTTCTTAAGGTAGTTATTGTTTGCTAGTAAACTAATTTAACATTTATTTTTGTTCAGTACACACTTATTTGAAATAAGTAGTGTATAATTTATAAATTTTACCTTTCTAAGTACCTTTGAAAATAAATTTTGTTTAGAAGTTATTTGTCTGATTGGGCCCTATAGTGATTATGTAAGGTATATTTTTTGTTCTTTATGTCATTTTATCCATGTTAGAGATCTCTCTTTGCTTTGCATCTTTACTAAAAACTTTTTGCGACGTAAGTAGCATTTGTTGAGTTTCTACTTTCTATCATATAGAGTTGTGGCCATTGATAAATATGGATAATTTTAAATTGAAGCAAAGTATTTACTCATTCAAAGTTGTAGGAAACCAATGGGAGGAAACACCAGGAGTTTAGACAATTTAGTATGTAACATGGCATTGCTTTCTCAGTTTTATCTGAGATTGACTTTATTTGTAATCAATTAAAGTGAGTAATAGCTGCTAATATTGAATGTGTGAATATTGTGAATGGTTGGATGTGGTAGAGTGATCTTGATACAATTGACTGATTTGGTAAGATTAAATCTTTTTTTTTTTGAGTTGGAGTCCCACTCTGTTACCCAGGCTGGAACGCAGTGGGCTCACCGCAGCCTTGCCCTCCTAGTCTCAGGAGATCCTTCTGCCTCAGTCTCCTGAGTAGCTGAGCCAGCTAATTTTTTGACTTTTTGTGGGGATGAGATCTCGCTGTGTTGCTCAGGCTGGTCTTGAACTCCTAGGTTTGAGCGATTCTTTCATTTTGGCCTCCTAAAGTATTGAACCATTGCACCTGGCCAAGAGTAAGTCTTTTTAATGATGTATACTTTAAGCTCGGTTGTTTTTAAAAATAGAGATGATGGCTGGGTGCAGTGGCTCAGCTTATAATTCCAGCACTTTGGGAGGCTAAGGCAAGAGGATTGCCTGAGCCTGGGGTTTCAAGACCAGCCTGGGCAACTTGGTGGGACCTCGTCCCTACAATAAATAATTTTTAAAAAGTAGACAGGCATGGTGGCATGGGTCTGTAGTTCTAGTTGCTTGGAGGGCTGAGGTGGAATGATCGCCTAAGCCCAGCAGGTCGAGGCTGCGGTGATTGTGAGCATGCCATTGCACTCCAACCTGGGCGACAAGAGTGAGACTCCAACTCAAAATACAAAAGGAGATGATGACCCCTGGAGTTCTGTTTTAATGTACAAACTTAACTGTTTTGTGTTAGTAAGCTTTTCCTTTCTTAATCTGTGTTAAGGTCTGAACATGAGAGACATTCCCCCAACTGCCCATTCGTGAAGGGTGAGCACACGCAGAATGTGCCATTGTCCGTCACTCTAGCAACAAGTCCAGCACAGTTTCCTTGCACGGATGGAACAGACAGAATCTCTTGCTTTGGGTCGGGGAGCTGCCCTCATTTTCTCGCTGCTGCAACTAAACGAGGAAAGATCTGCATATGGGATGTTTCCAAACTTATGAAGGTATGTTTTAATGTTGAAGCAACAGGTTAGTAATTGGAAAAAAATCATTTATGAACTTAGGCTTTTCATTCTTTTAGGTGCACTTAAAGTTTGAGATTAATGCCTATGATCCAGCAATTGTGCAGCAACTTATTCTGTCAGGAGAACCAAGCTCAGGAGTTGATTCCAGGAGACCAACCTTGACGTGGCTGGAAGACTCTTCTAGTTGCTCAGATATACCCAAGTTGGAAGGAGATAGGTAGGTAAATTTGTTTTAGCAGTATTTATAGATGTTACATGTTTGCTTTTCCTGAATTTTATATTCTCATAGTTCTACTTAAAGAGGAAGGAAAAGTGATCAAGGGATCAGAATAAATATTTGGTTAGAAATCTGAAAGCTTTGTGATCCTTGAATATAATTTGTATTAATAAACTCTATAAGATGCACTTTATTTTCTCTCGTAATCTCTGTCAGTTGGCGATAATTGCCATGTTGAAAAACAAAGTCTAAATAATGAAAAATCCCTGAATTTTATTTGTAATTCACCTTCTGCTAAATCTTTTCATGGAGCAATTGAAAGAGATGATTTGAACGAGATGATTTTGTTTTCTTTCCTTCATCAGCACCTCCCTTTACGGAAGTGCCAGTGAGTAATAATAATGAAATGGTCCAGGTGGGGCAAGAGGATCTAATTATGGAAAACAGGGGAGCAGTGAGTTCCGGCACCATCCTTATTGCCATAGAAACATTTGGGTGAAATTGCCATCCTGGACTCTCTTCCACTCAGCTTTTCTGACAGGTTCCTGAGTTTTGTGGCTGCATCTGATCTGTGTGGGGCAGAGAAGTTGAAGAATAATCCTGCTTCCCTACTTGCTTCCTAAGCAGCCCTGCAATTGTGGCTCTGAATTTGGCTAGGGCCATACAGCAGCATTTGCACTGTTCTCCTGGTTGCACAACGAAAGTTTCCATAAACCACTCAGTTTGGGATAAACAGTAGCAGCTACCACTTCTGAGATTCTGCAGGTGGCAATGTGAAATGGAGCCTGCTGTGATCAGATGTCCTGATAGACTGAGAAGATCTACTGTTTCACTTCCAGGGGCTTCTTATGTTACTGATATGTGATTGATATCACACCCTAGTCAGTGATTTATCATTTTACTTCACAGTCCCTTTGATGGCATGCTTCTGATTAAGAAGTAATGTGAAATTGTATTAATGGAAATTATTTCAATAATGGAATTAATGGAAATTCACAACATACACGTTACCTCTGTCTAGTTCCTCTTGGCAGTACCATGTTGATTAAAGGGTCACATATGTAATCCCAACACTTTGGGAGGCCACGGTTGGAGGATTGCTTGAGCCCAGGAATTTGAGGCTGCAGTGAGCCATGATGGTACCACTGCACTCCAGCCTGGGTAACAGAGTGAAGGAAAAAAGGCTCCTGGTTGTTCTGAGTTACTAAGACCCTGGGAAAGCTTGATGGGAAAACTGCTTGCCGTTGTCTGAGTTTTTGACCATATTTGCCAACAGAACTGGAAACTAAGCTTGCTTGATTTCTGTGACTTCTTTAGTGGTTAGTGGAAAATTAGTAGACGATCTGTAATTTGTATGTCCTTCTAGACACTGATTTTCATTAGAACTTTATTTTGGAGTTTTGTAGTTAGGGAATTAAAAATGGAATCAACATATTTCTAGGATAATATCCCCATACGCACACCCATACCCCCCTAGGTCAAATGTGCGTTTTCGGTAAATATGTATTCAGTATTTCTAGTGGCAATACCCCTCAATATTATATGGGATGTAGTGTGCTGGAGTTGAGATAGAAATGTGCTTGCTTTTAGAGTTGGGAGGATTCCTGCTGATTGGTTGAGAATTTAACGAGCCTGACTACCTTTGACTTTATGTGGCACAGTATACAACATATTTGGTTATAAAATATATGGTGTGGATTTTTATTAACTCTAAGAATAATTCATTGATTGGAGCAATGGAAGCTTAAGAAATTTAAAGTAATTAGCAATATAGCTTACTTAGGAATTATTTTTGAGTTTTTTCTTAGAAGACAACATTTGTCTTTTTTCTGAATTTGTTCAAGGAAGATGATTTGGGAACACATTTCATTTTAATGAGTCATGTTTTGTTTAGGTGCTTCATTTTTCATTTGTATGTTATATCATGTCAAATTAGTAACACGTTTGGTTTTTTTTTTGAGTCTGAGTCTCACTCTGTCACCTAGGCTAGAGTGCAGCGGCACGCTCACGGCCACTGCAGCCTTGACCTACTGGGCTCAGGTGACCCTTCTGCCTCAGCCTTCTAAGTAGCTGACACCACAGGCGTGTGCCACCATGCCTGGCTAATTTTTTTGATTTATTGTAGAGATGAGGTCTCGCCAAGTTGCCCAGGCTGGTCTCAAACCCCTAGTCCTCTCGCCTCCACTTCCCAAAGTGCTGGGATTACAGGCGTGACCCACCACGCCAGGCTAGTAAAACTTTTTTGAATTTAACTTGGAAGTTGTTTATGGTATTGGTATAAGCCCACGTACCCCTGTGATATTGGTATGTCTGATTTTCAGAAACACTTATAATTTTAACTTAACATTTGCAACTTACCCACAATACATCTTTTGCATGTTTTTTTCTTTGTTAAAAGGTTTTGGCCGGGCTTGGTGGCTCAGCCTGTAATCTCAGCGCTTTGGAAGGCCGAGGTGAGTGAATTGCCTGAGCCTGCGAGTTCTAGATCCGCCCAGGCAATTTGGCGAGACTTCATCTCTACAATAAATCAAAAATTAGCCGGGTGTGGTGGCGTGCACCTGTAGTTCCAGCTACTTGGAAGGCTGAGGTGGAAGGATCGCTGGAGCCCAGCAGGTCGAGGCTGCGGTGGCCGGGAGTGTGCTACTGCACTCCAGTCTGGGCGATGGAGTGAGACTTCAACTCCAAAAAAAAAAAAAAAAAGGTTTTAGGTTATATAAAAGGTTTTAGTAAGTCTAATGCTTATTGTAGAAAAATTGGAAAATATAGAAATGGAAATTTAACAAATAATTTCTTTTTTATAGAGGTGGTTTTGCTGTTTTGCCTAGGGTGGTTTCCAACTCTTGGCCTCAAGGGAACCTCTCCTATCTCAGCCTCCCAAAGTGCTGGGATTATAGGTGTGAGGCACTGCGCCCAGCCTGGAAACAGAAAGTGAAGAAACATAGAATACTCAAAATCACATTATACAGTTATATTAATGTTTATGTGTATTTTACTTTGTTTTTCTAACCCACATGATCTTTTAAATGTTTTACCGAATAATTTTCATACACAAAATTCACCCTTTAAATGTACAGTTCAGTGATTTTACCCATATAATTTTATCATGTAATAGTTTGGGAATTTTTCTGTTGTAAAATATTTTTGAAAAGTATGATTATATTTTTAAAGACTTTTAGTATAAAACTTTCTTTGTTCATTTAAGGTTTTTATCTGGCAGCCCTTTGAAATGTCAAGACACGGGAATTCCTTTTGAATATACTACTACCTTGTTTATCTCAGTACAGCTGGGTAATACTTGGTTATTTTTCTTAATGTAACAACTCTTCTGTACTTGAAACCTATTATGTCTTCTTGGTTTGGACTTCTTCATTCTTTATAATTCCCAATCATTACTATTCTTGGGATTTATTTTTCCAGCTATTTCATTTCTCTGAAACCAACCAATTAGTGTTTGAATACTTAATTAACTTTTTTCATTCTTTTTGTTGTTTTAAATTGCAACACTAAATTGTTTATGGACAATTAACACTTGCAAAAAGCTAAAACACAGAAACTTTGTCACATATCTAAGTGATTCCCCCCAGATTTAAAACATTGCCTTGGAGTGTTGTATTCCTAAGCATTTTTAATGTGTGTTTCAGATATAAGCGTAATATATTATTTAAAAATAAAGACTAGCCTTTTGTTTCTGCAGAATGTGAATTCTTTTATGTTGGTAATGAGGTTACAAACTAGTAATGAAAATAAGACTACAAACTAATTTTTCTTATATTCTCAAAATAATGAAAACTGCTGTGTATGTGCAGTTAAGAGAGTACAGAGGGAGCCTAATGCTTGTGTTAGCATGATCTGTAAGCACATCTTCTTTTTGCCTACCAGTGGAGAATGAGGATAAATGTGATGCGAAGAGAAAGGTCACCTGTGTGAAGGCCAAAGGGGAGCCTGTTGTCTTGTCTTTACCCTGTCTCCTGTGTAGTGATAGTTTCTCTGCCTGTGAAAGAGTTCTTAAGAGCCCCTCCAAAACAAAATAGAAATCACAAACAAAATGCCTTTGTGTGTGAGTGCACGTTCACACACATGTATTGATACAACTCTTCTGTTTGGTTTTAGGGAAAAGGTCCTGAATTCAGCAATAGAGTAGTTCTTAAAGTTTTGCTGCTGCACACTGGCACTTGGTTTTATTCACTGCTGCTGTCTTTTCTCTTGCCCAAAGTATTCCCAGTCATGTGACAGTCTTCAAATTCTTGCAGATTCTTAGACGTTTCTACACACAATTTCAGCTAGACATTTATTTAATAACTTGAGGTGATTTATTATCTTCGTCGTTAATCAATTTTGATCTCAAACTGTTCTTTGTGTCTCTTTTAAGCCAATTTTAATAGTTTTGTATGTTTATATTTAAGATATGTAGCAGAGGTTTTAATACAGTCTTCTTTATGATGTAGGCTGTTATTGAAATTCAAATTGTTTTTGCTGTGTCTTTTGTTTTAAGTGATGATTTGCTGGAGGATTCAGACAGTGAAGAGCATTCCAGATCAGATTCCGTTACAGGTATGTAAAAATACTAGATAATATATTTTAAAAGTCCTTGGCTTCATACAGTTCCAGATAAATCTAAATACCACTTAATTTTAAGTTTCTTATATGCTAACTCAAAATTTTCACTAATATACACTGAAAACTGAAATAGTGTATATTTCAGAGATCTTGAATTAGTGTGTACATAGTGATTCATTAATTAAAATTTAAATGGTGCCTATAAATCCTTTTTTAGTTGGGTTTTCACTCTGTCATCCAAATAGTGTCATGATCATCCTCACCACTGTCTTGACCTCCTGGGCTCAGGTGATCCTTCTGTTTTAGCCTCCTAATTAGCTGGATATATAGGTATGTACTACCACACCTGGCTAGATTTTTAGTTATTTTTTTTGTAGAGGCACGGTCTCACTGTGTTGCCTAGGCTGGTCTTAAACTCCTTCACTCAAGCAGTCTCCTCTTACCTCAGCCTCCCAAAGTGCTGGGATTACAGACATGGGCCACTGTGCCCAGCTGAGAATAAATCTTAGTGCATAAAATTATAGACATTAGGACATTAAGTAAATGCAGCCTTACTAGCTTGCAGAGGCAAAGGAATATACTTCATATTTTAATATTATTTTTTAGGAAAGGCTAGTACTACATCTTAGAATAGTTTGCTGTATTGGAATTTAAATCGTAACTGTGCCACTTACTATAGTCTGTGTTTCCTGATATATAAAATAGTGATAGTAGCATCTGTTAAGAGTTTTAGGGATTAAATAAGACAAAAATACAAGGCATCGAGTGTAGTGCCTGGGAAGTAGCCAGTATTTTTAAAAAGTGACTATGATTAAACTGTGGCTATTCTTTAATGTCAGATGTCTGGTACTAAGGACATACATAACTTAATAAATCTTTTTGGAAGAGGCGTGGTTTTGTATAATGCAGTTTTCAAAAGTTATAATTAGTATAGAGCAGTAAATATTGAAGAGAAAACTGTACTGATTTTGGGTTAATCCTTACCTGTCTTGTGAAGCCATTCTTTTAACAACAACAAAAATGCCTTTAATAATGTATAAACTTGTAATGTTATAAGAACAAAGAATTGACTACATTAGAAATTTAGACTGATAAAGGTAATGCTTGTTTCCTCCTTTGTTGTCTTTTTGCAAAAACAGACAGTTTTCTCAATCTGATCAAGATTTTCCTGGTCACTGGTCACACCGGTATACTTGATATTAATTGAAGTGTTTGCCTCCTGATATATCTAAAAAGTAAAAGGTGTTGTTTCAGAACTCATGTTTACAGCTCTCAGTGGTTTTCATGAGATTTCTTAAGTTACATAGGTCCTTAGTACCAGACATCTGGTGTTAAAGAATGGCTGCAATTTAATGTGGTCACTTTTACAAAACTCAGGCCTCTTCCAAGGCACTGCATGTGCTGCTTTCTATGAGTGATGTGGTCTGAAGAATTTTAGGAGATATTTCTTTTTCTTTTTTTTTTGAGTTGGAGTCCTGTGGGCTCCTGTGATCCTTCCGCTTCAGCCTTCCAAGTAGCTGGAACTAAAGGTGTGCGCTACCACGCCCGGCTAATTTTTTGATTTATTGTAGAGATGAGGTCTTGCCAAATTGCCCAGGCGGGTCTCGAACCCGCCGGCTCAGGCAGTTCACTCACCTCGGCCTCCTAAAGCGTGGGTTTATAGGCTGAGCCACCAAGCCCGGCGAGATATTTCTTAATTTCAACAATGTGAGTGCAGACTAAGAGACGTTTGGTTTTCAGCTGAAGGTTATGACTTTTGAAAGTATCTAGAGAATTGCAGAGAGAAATGTTTCATTATTGGACCACACATCAGAATTAAGGTTACATGGCGGCTTGTGAAGAGTAAGAAAAATGATTGTCAGGAAATTAAAGAAAGATTCAAACTGAAATTTGACGGTTTTAAAAGAGTGCCTCAGTAAAACATAATTGCTCACCTCAGGTAGTTTGTCAGAATCTGTGGTGTTGATACTACTTGAGTAAGCAGACTCGAGAAGCGTTTCCCAGAATGATTGAAGAGCATAATCCTGCAGATGTCTGTAGGTATTTGTGTAAAACTTTATTTTGTGGACCAGTGGATTTTAGAAACTTGGAGATCGAAGCGTTGTCAGGTTTCCTTTCTGCAGGATGTGTCTGGGCTCAGGATTCTGAAAAAGGAATGGTTCATGCTGCTCCTGACACTGATTAGATACTAGAAAGGAAGCAGAGTCATGATACCCTCCTTGTGTTTCCCTTCTTAATGAAGTCTTACCTCACCTGCCACTTTGATATTGTCTTAGCTGTGTGGAAATATATGTAGTTAATTTTGTCCTAATATATACGTGGAGACTAAAATTGTTTTTCCTTGGCAGTTTCTACTATAAATGGGGAAAAAAAAATCATTTGAATAAGTTTGTCAGTTTAGTCCAAAAACAACTGAGCATCCTCGGGATTGATTGTGGTATTCTGTATGTTATAAAAAATCTCACTGTCAGCCTTTGGTTTCCAATGAAGTTAGTAAAGAAGAGAAAATACACAAAATTTTGTATGGCAGTCAAAAGGCTGCACTTGAGTATAGCCAGTTGAGTGTTTAAATAAACAGCTTCATTAGTACAATTAAATCGTTTAGACTTAAAATTTTCTTCTGCTTTAGCGAAAAGAGGTTTCAGTTTAAGGGGATAATAGTAAGGTTATATGAGGTGACATCTTCCTCAGGTTATGGGGCATTCTAGATAAAGCTGTCAGTGAGCATGCTGACGAGTTCATGAATGCAATAGTGAACATGGTACACAGAATTTTTAGCGCACTCTGAGTGTCAGGTGTTCCTGAATGTCTTGCTCGTTGCTTTGCTTGAGCAGCTTTCAAACCTCCATGGAATCACTTTGGGTTTTTTGGTATTTGTTTCTTGTATTCTTCTCTGTTCTTCCTATCTAAACTGTAAAGGCAACTCTAATTTTTTGTTTTTCCAAAAATCAGCGAGTGGTCTTTACGTTACTGTTGCTACTAATTTTGCTGCCTGACTGATAGTAGTTTGTGCCATTGAGGGAAAAACTGATTGGTTGAAAGAATTTGCAGGGCCGTGTTAAGAGAGTATACTTGATTTGGGAGTTGACTGGCATCTATTATAAAGCTTTTTTTTTTTCTTTTTTACATTTTTTTAAGATGGGGTTTCACTATGTTGCCAAGGCTGGTCTTGAACTCCAGGGTTTGAGGGATCCTCCCACCTCAGCCTTACAGGTAGCTGGGATTTCAGGCATGTGCCTCCATGCCTGCCGGTATTGTAAGGTTTTGTGTAGACGGAAGTCACATGCCTGAAGGTTGAGTCTGAGGAATGACTTTTGCACTATTTGTTAAAAACAGGGTGCAGCTTAAAGAGGACATAATAGACAAAAGGTCAGTAAGAGTGTGGTTGTGTGACTTTACATGAATGAAAAATTAGCAGATACTATAAAAGACACCTTTGTTTTACTTTAAAATGATATTATTTGGGAACTTTTTTCCTAGTTATTATTTTTTTCTAAACCCAGGTTAGAATTAAAGTGTATACTCTGACATTCCACTGGTAATCAGTGTGGGGTGAGAGAGAAGAAATGGTGCTGTAACTCCTTCAGATGGTACAAGAAAGGGGTGAGAGGTCAGTCATTTGATGGATATTCCACAAAGTGCACAGTACGTTAGTAGTCTTGAATGTCTTCTCGGTTTAGAATTGAAGTACGGAAATCCTGTTAGTTTGATTGTAATTTAAAATGAAGAATAAACAGTATCTTCATTTTTTAAAGTCTTTAATCTCCTAATTTGCTCCTAAATTACCAAGATATATATTCTGAGTTGAAAATAATTTCAAGTCCCTTGAATGCCTTTATGGTTTTGCTAAGTAGGTTCACCTCAGATCTGATAATTTTTAAAAACAAAACACACTAGGTGTCATGGGGGATTGGTTTTAGGACCCCCTGCAGACACCAAAATCCAGGGTGCTCAAGTCTCATAAAATGGTGTAGTTTTCGCATATGGCTTTCTCTTGTATACTTTTAAACGATCTGTGGATTACTTCTAATACCTAGTACAGTGTAAATGTTATGTAAAGTTGTTATAGTATGTTGTTTAAGGACTAATGACCAAAAAAATTCTGTACATGTTTAGTACAGATGTAGCCATCCAATTTTTTAAAAATTATTTTTGGGCTGTTAGTTAAATCCGTGAATGCAGAACCTATGAATATGGAGGGCTGACTGTACTTCAGATAGTTTCACTTATATGAGCATAATGCACTGATGCACTGACTGGATGAGTAGAAACAGTTACTGAAAACATCAAACTGCAGCTGCTGCTTTGGGTTTACAAGGTCGTACATCTAACGCATATTGTTTCTTTCCAAGGGCGCACGTCACAGAAGGAAGCTATGGAAGTCAGCCTTGATGTAACAGCACTCAGCATCCTTCAGCAGCCAGAGAAGCTGCAGTGGGAGATTGTTGCAAACGTGCTTGAAGACACTGTTAAGGATCTTGAAGAACTTGGGGCAAATCCTTGTTTAACAAACTCTAAGAGTGAAAAGACAAAGGAAAAGCACCAGGAACAACACAACATTCCCTTTCCATGTTTATTAGCTGGAGGTTTATTAACATACAAGTCTCCTGCTACCTCACCCATTAGTAGTAATTCTCACAGGTCACTGGATGGTTTAAGCAGAACTCAGGGTGAAAGTATATCAGAACAAGGATCAACTGACAATGAATCCTGCACTAATTCAGAACTCAACTCTCCTCTGGTAAGGAGGACTTTACCCGTTTTGCTTCTTTATAGCATCAAGGAATCTGATGAGAAAGCAGGAAAAATCTTTTCACAGATGAACAATATTATGAGTAAAAGCTTGCATGATGACGGTTTCACTGTTCCACAGATTATTGAAATGGAGCTGGATAGTCAGGAGCAGTTGTTGTTGCAGGACCCTCCCGTAACGTACATTCAGCAATTTGCAGATGCAGCAGCCAACCTTACCTCTCCAGATTCTGAGAAATGGAACTCTGTGTTTCCCAAGCCTGGGACTTTGGTTCAGTGTTTGAGGCTGCCAAAGTTTGCAGAGGAGGAGAATCTTTGTATAGACTCGATAACTCCTTGTGCCGATGGAATTCATTTGTTGATAGGACTGCGGACATGCCCTGTTGAATCCTTGAGTGCAATAAATCAAGTAGAGGCCTTGAATAATTTAAATAAATTAAACTCTGCACTATGTAATAGACGGAAAGGTGAGCTGGAATCAAACCTCGCTGTAGTGAATGGTGCAAATATTAGTGTAATCCAACACGAATCACCAGCAGATGTACAGACTCCTTTGATAATTCAGCCTGAGCGGAGGAACGTTAGTGGTGGATATTTAGTACTTTATAAAATGAATTATGCCACTCGGATAGTGACTTTAGAAGAGGAGCCAATAAGAATCCAACATATCAAAGATCCCCAGGACACAATTACCTCGCTCATTCTACTTCCACCAGATATATTGGATAACCGAGAGGACGACGGTGAGGAGCCTGTTGAGGAAATGCAGTTGACCTCAAAGAATGGCAGTGAACGAGAAAAGACGTCGGACGTTTCCACGCTTGGACACCTGGTCATAACCACTCAGGGAGGATACGTAAAAATATTAGATCTTTCAAACTTTGACATTTTGGCCAAAGTGGAGCCTCCCAAAAAGGAGGGCACTGAGGAACAGGACACATTTGTTTCTGTCATTTACTGCTCTGGCACAGACAGGCTGTGTGCATGCACCAAAGGTAAGTTGTCTGTTGGATTCTTATGTAAACCTTGGGAAATCCAGGTATGTGGCATTTGCTGATGTGCATGCCTAGGATGAATGTTATTTTAAGAAGAATTTCTTAAAATAGTGAGTGATGATTCCATCTATTGTTCAAACTATTCTTATAAACTTTTTTCCACTGCCCTTGGTAGGGATTCTAATTGTAAATAAGGTGGTAAGTCTCTCAGGAGGTGTCTTCTCTGCTCTAACCTCCAGAAAATAACCTGCCATTGTTACTGTGAGTCCTGATTCTGCATCTGCTCACGTTTGTGACCTTGGGCAAGTTACTTCACTTTTGGCAAACCTTGTTTATTTATTTACTAAAACTTTATTTACATGGAGGAAATTTCAGAGAGGGGTTCTTAGCATCACCGCAGGTGAGGAATTGTAGGGATTTCTAGGGCTTGTAGGGACACAGAAAAATGGGACAGTAGTAGCTTTAGATGACTGCCAGTCTGTGTGTGGTGGTGGTACACACGACCTTATTCTCTGAATCATCAGCAGCAGTGGTCATACGTAGGACAGAAGAAATGAAAAAAATTGTGAGGGACTTGATCACATCCAGGGGTTCTCGCTCATCTGAAGAATTTTTTTTTTAAGGTGCAGGGGCTTTTTATCAGGACCTGGGCTTTCTCTCAGGAGCAGGGACTCTATCTCATTTGCTGGGTTCTCTGCCATGTGCAGGAGTATGCCTCAGGTACAAAGCTTGTTTTTTTTTTTTTTCCTTTTCTATATGTGCAGGCGTTCTTCATCAGGGTTGGACCTCTCCCTCAGGTGCAGGAGGTCTTTGTCAGGTGCGAGGAACTTGCTGATGTCCAGGGGTTCTCACTTATTTGAAGAATTTTTCCTAGGTTCAGGGGCTTTTCATCAGGTGCTGGGCTTTCCCTTATGTGCAGGTCCTCTTTCTTAGGTGCAGGGTTCTCCCTTGAGTTCTGGGCTCTCTCTTGAGTGCATGGTCTCTTCATCAGGAGCTTGGGCTCTAATATACATGACTGTCCCTCAGTGCAGGGCTTTTTCCTAGGTACAGGGACTCTTAATCAGTTGCTGGGCTTTCCCTCAGGTTCAGGGATGTTGTTTCGGGTGCAGGGCTTGATCTCAGTAGCAGGGTTCTCTATCAGGTGCAGGAGCTTTCCTTCAGGTACAGGAATTCTTTCTCAGATACAAAGGTGATTTTTTTAGGTACCGGAGTTCTTTATCAGGTTCAGGTGCAGGAGCTCCTTGTCAGATACAGGGGCTCTTTGTCAGGCACAGGGCACTTGCTGACCTCCAGGTGCTCTCACTTATCTCCAGGATTTTTTCTTAGATTCAGCACTTGCCCTCAAGTGCAAGATCTCTTCATCAGGTACTGGGCAGTTCCTGGCTCTGGGGGCTCTTTTCAGGTAGAGAGGTTTGTTTTCGGGTGCAGGGCTGTCCCGCGGGTGCAGAGCTCTTGATTGTACAGGGCTGTTTCTTAGGTGCAGAGACTTTTCATCATGTGCTCAGATTCTCCTTAAGGCACAGGGCTTTTCCTCAGGTTCAGGGCTCTCCCTAAAGTGCAGGTCCTTTTCATCAAGTTTGAGGGTTTTTTCTTGGGTGCAGGAATTGTCTGTCTTTCTTGGGGATGCGGTTCTCCCTACAGTTCAGGGGCTCTTTCTCACGGCAGGGGCACTCCCAGGTTCAGGGCTCTCCCTCAGGTTCTGGGGCTCTCCCTCAGGTTTTGGGGCTCTCCCAGGTGCAGGGCTCCCTCAAGTGCTGGGCCTTATCTCAGGTGCAGGACTCTCTTTAAGGTTCAGGAGGCTCTGTCTCAGCTGCAGGGCTCTCTCCATCAGGTGGAGGACTCTTTCAGGGTCAGAGCTCTGTCTCAGGTGCAAGACTCTCTTAGGTGCGGGGCTCTGTCCATTAGTTGTAGGGCTCTCTCTAAGGTGCAGGACACTCTTCCAGGTTTAGGTCTGTCTCAGGTGCAAGAATCTCTCCATCAGCTGCAGGGCTTTCTCCATCAGTTGCAGGACTGTCCCTCAGGTGCAGGACTCTCTACCAGGTTCAGGTCTCTCCGTCAGATGCAGCGCTGTCTCCATCAGTTGGAGGGCTCTCAGGATGGAGGGTTCTCACTCAGGTTTGGGGGCTCTCCCAAGTGCAGGGTTCCATCAAGTGCTGGGTCCTATCTCAGGTACAGGACTCTTCTAGGTTCACGGCTGTCTCAGGTGCAGGACTTTCTCCATGAGTTACAGGGCTCTCCCTCAGGTGCAGGACTCTGTCACAGGTTTAGGACTCTGTCTCAGGTGCAGGGCACTCTCCGTCAGTTGCAGGACTCTCCCTCAGGTGCAGGACTCTCTTTTGTGTTCAGGGCTTTGTTTCAGGTGCAGGGCTCCCTCCATCAGTTGCAGGGCTCTTCCTCAGGTGTGGGACTCTTCCAGGTTCAGGGCTCTGTCTCAGGTGCTGGGGCTCTCCCAGGTGCCAGGCTACCTCAAATACGGGCTCCACCTCAGGTGCAGGACTCTCTTTCAGGTACATGGCTCTGTCTCAGGTGCTGGACTGACTCCATCAGGTGCACTGCTCTTTCCACCAGTGGCAGGGCTCTCCCTCAGGTTCAGGGCCCCGTGTCAGGTGCAGGAGTGTCTCCATCGAGTTCAGGTCTCTTCATCAGGTACAGGCTCTCCCTCAAGAGCACTCCCTGTATTCCCCCACCCTCCTTTATGTGAATCTTCCAAGAGGCGGGGGAGTGTGGGTAGCTGCTCTGACTTCCTCTCTGCCCTTTGTTAGCAGCCACAGTCATCTAGAGACTACAGCCATGGTCGCCATCCTACCACCTGGAACTCCATGAATGCAAGACCCAGAGCGCCTGCCTCAGCTGCACAACTGCATAAGTGCTGTGGCCAGTTCCTGCCTGGGTTTCCTGGGTCACCATTCCTGATGTCACAGTCCCTGATGTCACAGTTCTTGATGTCACTGCCCCCATGTCACATCCCTGGCCCAGGGGAGACAGCCAGGGCTTGGGAACTCTCCACAGCACTTCAGGGTGGGATCCAGTGATGGGGACTATGAGACCAGATAGGTGCCGGTCCAGTCCAGAGGCCTTTGGAGCTGGCCCCGCCTCCCAGCTCCATGAGCCAACAGTTATTTTTAGTAGAGTCTGGCATCTTCCTCCCATTAATAGGACACTTCATCTGGACCTCAAAGGGCTGCCAATCCTCGTTTCCGGAGCCTTGCTGTAGTTCTGAACCTTCTCTGTCAGTCCGTCTTTTGTTGAAGCTCCCATCTCTGGATTTCTTTCCCTGTCCATTTAGCAGTTTGTCTTCAGATGAGGATGTGGCACGTGATAGCCATCCAGGAACCCTTTCTGCCAGTTTTGCTTTATTTGTTCTTTATCCACCTCTTTCTGAAGATGTAATGCCAATAACCTGTCCTGTTCTTGTTTATGTCTCTCAAAGAGTAGACGTTCCAAATCTATAAATTTTGGGTAAAGTTAGTTTCTGTGTCCTCTTGATCTGTGGAAGATATGGGGGAACATTTTTCTTCTTTTTGCAGGTAAGTATGGATCCCTGACTGCTTCCAATGAAGATTCCTGATTTTTTCTTTTGGAAATATCCTTGCTGCTCAGTAGGCAAGACTCTTTTATTTTCTGCTCTATGGTGTTTCCAGTGATCTGTGTCAGACCTGATAACAGTGTACCCTCTGTTGTGTCACAAGGCAAAACAAGGAACTCTTGCGTCAGGTCCTTCATGATTTAAGATATACGGTCCTTTATCATGATTTTTGGTTCTATTTTGATTTTTCCATCAAGGCCCCATTTGGCACTACAGCCACATAACCATGGCAAGGATGACTATTGAAGACTGCACTTTGTTCTTGAATTTCAAGACATGTTTGTGGAGAAAGTGTTGGCATGTCTTCTTCAATTTCTGTGTCTTGCCATGTATGACTTTTCACATCACTATTCACAGTTTCCCTGATATGGAGTCTTTTCCTGACTTCTTGTACAACTTCAGACTATGATACTGATCCGAATTGAGATGTAGGTGACAAATATTGGTGATGGCAGTGAACTCTACCGAATTAACCCCTTCAGCGCCGAGGACGCCCCCGAGTCTCACATGGGCAGCTATCTTACCGCCAATGCCAAACAATCTCTTTATTTATAAACTGGGATAAGAAGGCCGATTTCTTTTCTCCTGAACCCCCCACAAATTATCTCTTACAGAAAGGAGAAAGCCTATTTCCTAGGCTTGTTAGGATTAAACAAAACAATATATATAAAGATTCTGGCACAGGTATTGGTCCTTATTTCCTTCTGAAATAAAAAAATTTAGCAAATATTTATTATTTTGTCAAATAAAATATTTTGTCTGATATACTCTTCACCTTTGTCTAGTAGTGAATCAGTCCTTCTGCCTCAGTCTCCCAAAGTGTAAGGATTATAGGTGTGAGCTACTGTGGCCCACCCAGAGTACTTTAAATGACATTAAACTGCCATACAATAACAAAGGTAAAGGATCATAAGTTGAATTCTTTGTACTCTTTTAATCTGAAATATTTATGTTGGATTATTATATCAATAATTTATAGTATATACTATATAATAAATAATATATAGACTGTATGAATATAAAATAAACTAATAAATGATAGATATATTATTATTATTACATTGGAACCCAGGTGATCTGGCCCCATAAACCTCTTTATAAGACACTGTTGTTTTCCAGAAATGCAGTAAAGGTTTAATGCTTTAAATTATTTGATGGGATATGCTTTAAGCAACTCAGAGAAGGAATAGTGTATAAGCCTTAAATATTTAAGTAATTTAAATAGTTGGTTGTTTTCTTGGAGTTTGCATAATAACAAGTTCTAGGAAGTGATCTCATGTGATAGGGAATTTGTCCAGATGAATTGAAAAGCAAGAAAAAGCCTGAGACGCTAACCTTGTTGAAAATTATCTCCCGGTACTTTAAGGATTGTCTGATGCAGGTGTGTTTGAAAAGATGATATTAATAACTTTAA